GTGTGTGTGTGTGTGTGTGTGTGTGTGTGTGTGTATACTCAGTCTAACATGGGTGACTTTCCCTGGCAGCAGGATGAGGCTGCCCAAAGAAAGCAGATGAAAGCCATCTTCACGGGTGCTCTGTACAGACACTCGGAATCAGACCGAAACGTTCCAAATAGCAAAAGAACGGTCCATCGGGGCTGTCACACAGGTACAGTACCATGCCAACTAATCCCACACCTGCACACTTAAAGAACAACCCCCCCCCAAAGCTACACAATAATAATAGCACAATGCTGAAAACGTCATCTTTGCACTTTTGCATTTTAGTTTACCTAAGCCACCAGGTGTCATGCTGCTTTGCCTACGTCCTATATCCTTTGTGTTTCAGAGGACACTGTCATGTCAGAGAGTACAAGCTCCATGTCAGATTCAACATCCCATGACAATGGTGAGTCAACAGTCTCCGTGTGTATCCACATTCACCAAAGAAATAACTGAACCGCTGACCCAACCTCATTCTTAAAACATGAGAATATGCAGTGTTATTAATGCTCTGCACCAAAAGTTGCACTTTTAAGGCTTTTATTGAAAGTTGACTACATCAAAAGAAGATTTGTTGTTCTTCCTCCTACAGAGTCTTCACCAAGCGTGGCTGCAGACCAGCGATCTCTGTCTCAGCCACGACTTACTGCAGGCAGCCCTGACCACAGAATCAGCAGGAAGCTATCCCCAGTGGAGATTTATTACGAGATGAGGACACGGCGCAACTCTGTCACTAGCTCTGTTAGGTGTGTATCTTAAGGTCACCCTGTGCAGCCTGCCTGCTCTGTTACATTCACAGCATAAGCACACAAAAGTAAATGATCAGGATTGTGTGGGTTACAAATGCTAAATGCATCTTGTGATTCTTCGTTTTTTGGTTTTCTTCCACAGCCCAACTCACTCTTTACCTAGAAGTGCTTCTAACGTTGAAGGCAGAAGTGTTCCAGCAACTCCTATGTTGGCCCGAACTGCTCCCATCAGCGTTCATGTCAGGTAATCTGTGATGCTGGGCTGCTTCTGTCTGATGCTGCACACCTCCCGCCTCCTGTGATAACTGCATGGTTGGAAATGGCTTAATGACTTAGCCAAATGAAGACAGAGACTTCAGGTTGTAACTGTGATTAATGTCAAATTCAGCTACCAGCAAAGGTTTTTAATTCTTTGGACTTTTGGCATTAAAAATTTTCCTTTTTTAAAAGGTAACTTTTCTGTGAAATTCAGTTACATGGATTAGCTTAAAGCTGCTGTCACTCACTCTGCTGTATCTAAAGTTCTTTAGTTTCCTCTCTGATTACTTTGCGCTGCTGCTGTGCTCATTTGCTGTGCTCATATCTTAGGTCAGATGCATCTGGTGGAAATGGGCTGAAACAGTGGTCTGGCAGCCTGGATGTGCCATACATGATTCCGTTGGCTCAAGAAGGTTCTTCCTCTGACCGCCGCAGCTGTCCGTACAGCTCCCGAGCCAGGCGCAGCAACAGCTCTGAGGCCCTGCTGGACAGATCGAGCCTTCCAGACGACCCAGCCCCTAGAAACGGCATGCCGCAGAGAGGAGGGCCCTACAAGAGTTCGGAGACGCTGACAGATGGAAAACTGCGGCATATTCACTTGGGCAGCCCCGAGGGGCATGTGGACAGCTCTGTTGAGCAAGTCAAAATGCGTCTGTCTATGGGTGGCAGGGGAGCAAGCGGTGGCTACAACGAACTTTTGATGGACTATATCTGGGGAAAACAGCAGAGGATGCAAGTGCAGCACCATCTGTACCAGTCCACAGGAAGGATCTGGCAAGACATGTCCTCCCCTCGCTCATCCACTGCAGCAGTGCCTCCCCATGCCAATGGATTTTCCCATTCCCAGGTGCACCTTCCCAGTGCTGCACCTCCCTACAGTCCCATGGTCCTTAGAGGATCCCAAGCTGAACTACGCAGGGTCAAGGTCACCAGAACCAAATCTTGTGGACCTTTTATTCCTTTGCAGCAACATCCCCAAGATGCAATTCTACTATCAGCGTACGAGTCCCCCCTTCCTGTTTCTGGAACCACCACATCATCCATTCCCAACCTGCACCCTTACCAGACTGATTTGTCTGGTCCCTCCTTCAACCGCAGACCCCCACAGTTTTCTCTTCCTACTCCAGAAGACTCAACAAGAAGCCTGCATAAAGCCCTGGCTCTGGAGGGCCTTAGAGACTGGTACCTGAGGAATGCTCTTGGCTATCCTACTGCTGCCCCAAAGGGTCACGAGGCAGGGATCTCTCGTCTTTCACACCCACACCCACTGGTGCACCAGGCCCAGTCTGTTCAAGGTGAACCAACTAACCTCCAAAGGCCTCAGATACCCCAGTCAGCCAGCTTCCATGGCCACCCTCTCCATGGAAGGTCAGTATTTTTAAATGTGATTCACTAGCTGATGTTTCAAGTTAGACTTCATACACACTGCAGAAACACAAGCCTAATAAAAGTCAATTTTTCTGTTGGTTTACATTAACACCAGAAAAATGTAACATTACTGTTGCCATATATCTGTACAGCATGGATGCATTACTGAAATCTGTGTGTTACAGATGATTTGTCTGTCTTCTTAGATGTTGGCAGTAATGCTTCCAACAGATGCTGGTGCTGTTACACTCACTCTGCCCCCCAGCCAATCCATCTATCATCCTCTTTTACAACTGACACTGTGTTATTTTCTTTTTATTATTTATTTTTTTGGGCTTGGTCAGCATTATCGCCTGCTGCTGGCAGCCTCATGCCAACACTCTTTGTTGTTCCTGATTGCTTCCAAGGATGGGCCTCTCCAAGCTCTGTTATAGTCTTGCACACTTTTTTTCCCCCTTTTTTTGTGGGCCCTAAGAAAATTAATTTCTTAGTGGTTTTACTGCATGCTTCTTGTGGTGTTTATTTGTTTCCTCTCTTATTTTTTTATTTTTTTGGGAGTGCAATATTGACTTGTTTTACCTCCCCCCACAGGTCGATGGAGTTCTCTCTCTATCAGGAGACATCTGATCCACAGATGCAAGAGGTGACTCCAAAGGAGCCCAGTGCTGACCCAGGCACCTTGGTCTGAAGCAGCAGCAGCACTCATGCACACATCAATGCACTACATACGCAAAAACAGTGTAGCTTCACATGGACTCCGATATACTACTCCAAAAATTAAGGGAACACTTAAATCACATGCTGTATCTCGATGAATTAAATATTCAAACTGAAAGTCTTTATGACACACACTGTGTAATTTGTTGAGATCAAAATAATGGAACAATATAGTTGGAAAGCCTTCTGAAGGCTGGATTCAAAATGACAACAAAAATCAATGTTATAAATTGTTCAAGTGTTCCCTTTATTTCTTTTGATCAGTTTAATTCCACACACAAGTTGATTATAATGTGACCTCAGCAGCATCGAAAAACATGACCACCTCAGCAGAAAGAGACTGAAGTAAATGACAAACTGTAGCTGTAAAGTTGGAAAAAGCCTGGGCAAGCTCCCTGTGTTATACCTGATTTTTGCCAATATCAATGTCAACCCCAGTGTTTTGTGGCTGTACACGGGTGCTGACTTGCAGAGCATCTAATACCAATATGATCATACTCTACTTCACATATAAATATTTCTGGTCCAACGCGAACGGCAAGATCCTTTCCATTAATCCTGAAAAGTCTGCCGAGATATACTTTTTTACAGAATATATACAGCTGTAAAGTACTATTTTGTATCTTCTGAGATATAAAGAACTGTTATATTAAAGAGGTAATTTATTGCTCATTAACCATGTTATATTCAAAGATGTTATGAGCTCACATCATTTGAGACGTATTACATGCCAGTGAACGTGTGTTTGTAAATTATATAAACCGCAGAAACATGCTTCAGTCCTCATCTGCCGTTAACGTCACAGCCATTTGTATTTTTCATATTTGATAAAAGTGAAGTGGGCCATGAACTGTAGCATAATGGTGTAGCAGACAGGAGTGCCTAAATGTTTAATATCAAAACTAAACCTTGGTTAGAAAAACTTTAAAGTTGCTAGTATTAAGACTGTGTGAGATTTAGTTTTTAAAAATCAGACTAAAGCGTATCACAGTGTGACTCAGTTTGGGTATTTGGAATGATGTCATATGTATTTTGGTGTTTTGGGGGTTTCAGCTCAGTGCTGGTTGATAAATGTAGCCTTCTCTGTGCTGACCTTAGATCAGTTTAGGACAAACCTTAGGGCTGTAGTGAGACCTTCTGTATGGCAGTAGCACTTGACTGTGTGACAAGAAATAACTCGTATCAAATCAGTTTTTTTTTTTTTCTGCATTCACTTGCGGAGGATTTGATTGTCATACAGAGCACTTTATGAACATCTTAAGCCTTAACCCCTGTGAAATTGTCACCAAGATAGATAACAGTCAATAAGAAGGTTTTTCTTTTCTTTTCTTTTTGGTCTTCAAACATCTGTTGAAGGTCTGGGTGGTGGTCTGTACATAGAGTGGCTTGTACTGATGAGTCTCAAGCTAATGTTCTATTCCCATACTAACAATGTAATTTTCCGAACTAACTGCATAATAAGTATAATCAAAATAACCTGCCCTACTCCTTCAACCCCACTTCCCCCCCAAGTGAGAACTATTTAATTGGTTATAAAAAATTGAGGATGACCATGTGACCAGAATAGGGCCGCTGCAGTACTGAATGGTGGTGTGAGCAGGTCTCATACCAGTAAATGTCTTTGTGAGAATACATGCTGTTTGTATTTGTAAGGAATCTGTTTGACATGTTTGCTTTCTTTTAAATATTTTTTTTAACATTGTGTCATGTATCTTTGTATATCAGTAGCATTATTACATTGTTTTCACAATCAGCCTGGGTAGCATTTTGCAATGTACACTACAGAAACCAGAAGAAGTAAACTGAAAATATTTGTATTGTTGTAACAACATAGCATGTTTCTTTCATGGTTTTAATATGATTTTGCCTTTTTTTTCTGTATTTGATCTTCAGACTCATCTGAATGTAGTTTTCTTTTGTGTGTGCTTGTGATGTTTTTGCTCAGTTACAAACTGTAGCACACTGTGGAACATGAACCTCGTGTCTACGCCTGTCTGATGTGTTCACATCCTCTGTTTCCTGCTTCATAGAGCTCCTTCCAGCTTGTTAAAGACTGAAATCAAAGACCAAACTGCTGTGCACTGGGGGTCATAAAGGTATTTTTCATATAATGTACTCTAAGTTCAAAAGAAATAATATAAATTTAGCTCTAAAGCAAATGTATTCAAACTATATTATATTTATGAACCTATAACGTTTTGTAGCCATCTACTGTAGCCCTTTCTCATCAGTGCAGGAATTAGTAATGTCTGTTTAAAATTTCATTAAGCTGTGTGATATGTTTAATATTTGGTTATACTTTATATTTTCTTTATTTCTTAAAAAAGAAAAGATATTTAAGTGCAGCTGTTTTCTCTTTTCTTCTCTCTTTATAACCAGGCCTATGAAGTTAGGCTAAACAAGGCCTGCTCTGTTATGTATGTATGAGATCTAAATAAAGTGTCATGTTGAAATCAAAATTCAAATGTGTTTGTACTATATGCAGCAAAGTTGTGCTGAAAATGACCTGTGGTTGTACTCTGTGCTAAACCTACCACTTCTAAACTATTAACCAGAGTATATAATGAAGAGATAAGTGGATTTATCAAAATGGTATAACCTCATCACCAGTGCAGTTCTTGGTAATTGATCTGTGCTAGTGTGATAGGATTTCCTGTTTTCCAAGTACACTGAAATGTCTTAAATTATCTTTTTGGAAATGGAAAAAATATACACACATTCACTGTGAAAAATGAAAACTGACCAAAATGCTTTGGAGGCACATTTACATTTAATGTCTAAAAACAAAACAAAACCCTAGTTTAAAATAAAGATGAAAAGAGTATTTTGTTGTTTTAATGAAGTATTGCAGAAAGTAAAAATCACAACAATTTAGTGGTCATTAAAATATGTTCAAAATCATGGCGCACTGCTCTCCCCTACAAAAGCTGCCTTTTATAGGTTAAAGTATCTGCAGTACTGGTCCTGTATTTACTTTAAAAAATAAATAGATAAATTAAAAAAAAATATATATATATAAAATATATTTGCAGTGTTGCACAGCACAAGTGTAATATCTCTTTTTTTTTTCTTTTTTTTTTTCTTTCTTTTACATTTCCTGTTGCTCCAATGCAATGATTGTAATCACCAGTTGCGGGTTTTTTTTGTTTTTGTTTTTTACAGGAACATACTGAATAGCATTCTTCTCAAAATGAAAATTTGTTCGTCAGAAAGTCGAATACAAAGAAATAAGAAAACAAGCTCCTTACCACCTCTGTAAATCGAGCTAGTCGCTAGATAGCAATAATATTGTCAGAAATGCATGTCTGCTACATGCAGGCAGGAGCACTCTCTCAGAGTCTTAAGCTTCTGCTCGACTCTGCTTATGAATCCTTAAAGCAATGGTTGGGACTTCCAGTCATTCAATCAATAGTTGTAACACATTAGTATGGATTTCAAGATGTTATTTGGTTTTCATTTGTACCTATTTTCAGTAATTTCAACTTTAATATCAGCAGATTAACTAGGCATATAATTATTTTCTTTCTCTCTTTTTTGACATATTTTTCAAGTCATCTATATTTGACAACAACATAATAAAACTGGAAATTGTGTTTCTGGTGTGCCACCCCTATGAAAAAAATCCGGATGCGCCCCTGGTAGCAGGAGCGGCAGGCTGCTATTCCTGGACCTGAGTGTGTTTTTCCAGTCGCACAGAGGAGAGCGGGCTGAGAATGTCCTCGTGTGAGGCTCGTTCATTTCCCGCGTTACAAATACTAAAAGTGGATACATTGCACACAACGGTAAGTTGCTTCTTCCTTGAACGTGGCTGGGTGTTTAGAGAGGGATAACGGTTTCCGAGTTGATGTACTCTCGACGTCTCCCACGGGAAAAAAAAAAGCCCTTTCGGAATAAGTCTTTTCGAGGAAGAAATGGCAAATTTATCATATGTACAATACAAAATACCTTACAAAAGACATATGTGAATGTCACACACTGCAGAAGAATCTTTAGTTAGGCAGCATAAAGAGGAAGTAAGCCAAAGGGCTGTTTTCCCCTCTTTGTTTAAAGCTCCTTTCCTGTCAGTGAGTCGATGATTTTTTTCATTCATTGCTAAAAAAGGTAAAATAAAAGAGTAATTTTTAAAGTGACTTTTAAAAATTTCCTCTTGTGTCAGCCACCAATTAAAACTTTTATAACCACACACAACGTTCAGCTATTTGTTGAATGCCACGAGAGCAGTCTAGCCTGCATGTATGTGTCTAGTTGTTTTACTGTCTTGCTGAAACTGAAGCGCTGTAACTGTGGTACAAATGTGAAGTAAAATGGACTAGTTTGCCATTGCTTGTTTACAGCAGTGGCTCCTGCACTGCAGCAGTTCATGCAATATCAGTAAGATTTCAGTTGCAGCTGGCTGGTGTCACGAGCTATTTACGTTGACATGCCATTCATCCAGCTAAAAATAATCATACACATTCACTGGCTCTTTTAAAATGTCATTGCAGCAACCTACTGCACTCAGTAGCTAACAATACAAACCAGCTGCCAGACTCCAAGCCAGTGAACTCTTGCTTTACACATGCGGGAAATGATTTAGGACCTCCTTCCTTCTTGAACGTATGCAGATACATTTTTGTTATAAGCTTCCTGAGTGCTGCTGTCTTCTTGACCCTCCTCCAGCTGGGCTCGAGTTCATCAGGCTCCAGATAAACATGTCCTCATCGTATGCTGCTACGATAGCAGCGCTGATTACAACAAACTCTTTTAATCCACCCATCAAAACCAGGACCCACGCCACTTCTAACACAGCACGGACTCGTAAGCCTAGCCAGGACCACCGCTGCCCTCAAACTGTACAGAGGAATGCTGTTTCACCTGAGCCTCAGGGATTTTACGATGAGCAACAGGAGAATCCTGCTGACTATTGCATAGGTGGGTAAGACACCGACCCTGAAATCCAGCTCCCCTGGTTGAGATCTTCAATTTTCACATCTGCTGCGTATTTCATTGCAGGTGGTTACTACCCTGTAGAGATTGGAGACATTTTTGTTGACCGTTACCAAGTTGTTAAAAAGTTGGGATGGGGTCATTTCTCTACTGTGTGGCTCTGCTGGGATATGGTGTAAGTACAGGTTTGGTCCACTTGACTTTTTACACAACAATTATCAATATGATCCAGTAACTCACTGACATAATTGTTTGCATGCAGGAAAGGGCAATTTGTGGCTCTGAAGGTGGTGAAGAGTGCTCAAACATTCACAGAGACGGCACTGGATGAGATCAAACTTCTGAAATGCGTCAGTGTGGTCACATTGCTGTCAGATTCAAGTCATTTTGGAGTGCTCTTAAAACACTCGTGTAACAGAACTGGCTTAGGGTTAGGCTTAGTCTGGCCACGAGCGGAAGTCTGAGTAATCAGCGTGTTTAGTGGTGCAATGAACTGCAAAGGTTTTCTGCAATCATTTTGCTATTTTATTTCCATCACTGTGGAGTCACAATAATGTCACCATGCTATGAAATCATGTGTCCTCTTCATTTTTATTTATTTTTTTGTTCAATACTGTTCAATACGTACTTGTTTAATCATCAGGTAAGAGACAGCGACCCCAAAGATCCTAAACGAGACAGCATAGTCCAGCTCATTGATGACTTCAGGGTGACTGGAGTGAATGGAGAGCGTATCCTTTATAAAGATGGTCGATCACAATTATCTGCTCCGCAACTTGTAGTATTTCATTGAGTGGTGCAGATCTTGTAAGTGTATTCTGGCTTCTTCTAAATACCCAGGGTGTAATATTCAGGTTCTGTGGTATAAAAGCAGGTCCTTAATTGCTCAACAGATGTGTGCATGGTTCTGGAGGTTCTTGGGCACCAGCTGCTGAGGTGGATCATCAAATCGAACTACACAGGCCTCCCTCTTCCCTGCGTTAAGAGCATCCTCAGACAGGTTTTGTGCAATCCTTTATTCCAACCTTTGAAATGGTCCCCTGTCTATGACCACTATTTGAGGTTTTTCTGTAAACAGAAGATGTTCTGTCTTTGCCTATGTCAGTGATTTGATTACGGTTCCTTCTCACAGGTTCTTCAGGGTTTAGATTACTTGCACACTAAATGCAAGATCATTCACACAGACATCAAGCCAGAAAACATCCTTCTGAGAGTAGATGAGGTTTATGTTCAAAAGCTCGCGGCCGACACCAAGCTGTGGCAGATGCCCAGGTCTCCTGTATTCACCAGCACCTCAGGTTAGCGATGCTGTGCTAATAATTAGCCTACATATGACTCAGTTATATTGTGTCTCGGGAAGTAGCTTAACTGCTGTTCACATTTGTGCCTTTTTCCCCTCCTGATGTTTTTCCATTTGCCAGTGAACACAGTTTCCAGAGAAAAACAGGTGTGCAATATGAAATATATTCCTCTGATATTATTATCTTATTAATACATTTTTATTCAGCTGTGATTGTATTATGACCTTTACTTTTATACTTTGACTTACTTAGAGTGCGCCCAAGTTACTCGGAAAGCTGACTGGGGTTTTCCACACTCTTGGGGAGTGGGTAAGATGGAGTTGGTGTTTTGCTTTTCTACTGATGCATCTTATAAGCTCCTACATCTTTGTCAAACTGTGTAACAACCGGTCTTCTGTACAAGCACACTGCACTGAGACTTCTGGATATGGGGAAAGTTACTGTTCATACTTGATTTTTATCAGCTGTTGCTGAGTTGCTGAGCAGTTGTGGCCTCTTCACCTCAGTCAGAAAATATGCTCTGCCTGTTTTTGCATTTGTAACATTCATATAATCAATAATTATGGCATTCATATTGCAGCATTTCTTTCTTACTACCCACTCAGGTGTGTAACTTTTACAGAGAGTTTGGGCAGAGATTGGAGAGCACGTTATATGTGTTCATTCTACTGTATTTTTCTTCCTTTCTCATCCTAAAGAGACACTGGAAAGAGGCGTTTGCAATATATGCACTGCAGTGGAGTACAGACAAGTAAAGAGCAGGTTATCATGTATTTAGAGAGTACAGCTCCTATGGTGTATTACTTATGGTATATATTCTACAGTAGGCAACTTACTGTGACTATCAGGACTGGGCACTAAGCAATGCTGAAACAGTAAGCAGACACAACTGGTTATTTTGATGTCCTTCCAATAGCCGCTGTTGTGGTTTCACCATGGCTTGTTGTCAGCAACCTGCTCTAAATCATGTGAAAACTTTATGATTCACTGCTGAGGTATGAAATATAAAAACAATGCTAAATACATCCACTGTTGTCTGCGCACTTAAGTACTAATAGAATATGAAACATCACTTGTAGTTGCATTATTCTGCATTTTTGCTGGATCTCACAAAGCAGGCATGGATTTGTGATAAATCACTAAGCACATTTCTTATTAATTTCTTCGGCCCATGCTCTCTCCTGATTGTTTCCCACGTATGACTGTGCCCTACAGTCCAGCAGGATTTCCAGAAGTCCAATTAAGCGACTGACGAGGAAAGACAGAAGCCGACGAGGCAAGCCTGATGTGTCCGTTTCTGTCGGTGCTACCTCTAGCACCCATGGCTCCACTTGTCACTCTAAGCTAACAGGTTCTAACATCACTGTAAGAAGACAGACTCTGCTGTTGGAAGACAGATTGAATTTAGCTGCACACAGCCTCAGAGACTCCTTCTGCTCGTGTCCAGACCTCAGCACAGATGCTGCTGTCTCTGGATCCAGATCATTGTTATTACATCAGACTGCAGACAGAGATTCTCTGCTACCTTCACCATCATGTCCACAAGGTGAGTCTAAGAAGATTTCTTGGAGGGAAAGTAACTCTAAAGCCAACAGTTTGTTCCTCTTTCTGTGGAAACTTGCATTTTGGCTCAAATCTGTACTTTGGGCTGTGTGTTTACATAAACTGAAAGGCTACATGGATCGTAAGCAGTAAAAGTACTTTCTTAGCTGTCATGTTGTTTTATGTACTTAAGGCACCAGTGACTCAGATGTTATTCTGGACCTACTGAAGCCTCACAATGCTGACAAAATCCTCATCAAGATTGCTGATCTAGGCAATGCCTGCTGGGTGGTGAGTGAATTTATTTTTATTAGGGAATATGTTTCTGTTTGTTTTTGATTTCTAGAGAATATCTGAATTCCAGATCACACGGTTGTTGCCTTTCGGAGTTTAGAGTTGAGTTGGTCTATGTCATACCATAAATTCAGCTGCAACTGCCCAGGGCTTTGTGCTTCAGGATTCTGGCTTTATTAAACCTTTAAGTATTTGATATTATAGTATTATTGCCACATTTAATCAAAACACACTCAGAACTTTGAAGTAGGGCTGGGCCATATTATACCGTTCACGGTAATACCGGTATAATGTTAGGCAACGATAGGAAAATGAAATATCGCGATAGAATATGAGTAAAACGCGCATGCGCAGTGCCTTTGTTTTCATACGCACATGGCCGATTGTTGAGTGAAACAGATGAACCAGAATTGGTTTGTAAAAATGGTGCAACTTCAGTGATGTGGAACTGGTTTGGTGTTTGTCCGTCAGATACACGACAAAGCACATTTTTTTGCAGAACATGCAAGCGGCCGTCGTTATTGTCGTATTTGTCGGACTAAGATGCTCTTAAATCTGGGAGTAATCTGGGTCCTAAACTCCGTATTCTTCAGGTCAAACAACACTGCAGCATCACTGAGAGTTAAAAACTGTCTAAATTCTTTCATCTTTAATAAAACGATCAGCATTGCTGCTTTACCAGGTGTAACTATGAAGTTTAACTTCCAGGCATCCATGAAAACAAAAGTTATTACATTTAACGGAGTTAGAAGTTAGCAGGAAGCTAGCGGAAGTTAGCTCGCTAGTTTCGCTAGTTACCTAAGCATGATATAGCATGTTCTGACTGAGAGATTTCTGAAAAAATATCAAACGTACAGCTCTGCTATCACTTCCAACATAAATGAAGACAGGAAACTAAACAGCAGTGACGTTTGTAGGGTTACTGAAGTTGGGCTAGCTGGTATATAATGATGTGCTACGTGATCGCTAGCGACACAGCTATGTTAGCATAACATAAACAGTGAAGCTGGAGGACGAACACTAACACTTTTCCACTTATAAAAGTTAACGTTAAGGTTCCTCATGGTTAGAGACAAATGCAATCGCATGGCAGGATGCTGTAAACGGACCAAACTTCAGTCAGGAGAACAACTGAGATAATCCATCCACAATACGAGGTTAGTCATTAATATACTGCAACAACATGGGAATAGAGCAGCTGCCAGAGAATTCAACATTAATGAATCAATGGTACAGAAGTGGAGGAAGCAAGAAGAATGAGTTTAATAAAGTTTGATTTATCTGACTGCTTTGTTTCGCTTAATGTGCCTTATAATCCCGTGCACCTTATGGTCCGAAAAATACGTACTGCACACTGCAGTTTAATGTTGCAAAGCACCTCTTTTTAACTTCAGTGGATATTATACATGGTTATGCTCAGGATATGTCAGCCCATTTCTACTGGAAATGCCTTTTGGTTAAACTTTCAGCAAGGAATTTGCATTTGCACTGTTACATTTTTATAAAGCTTTAATGTACATAAAAACCAGCTTCTTGTTTAAGTGAAAATAAATGGAAGGTTGTCTTTTTGCGCTAGTAATGTTGTGGAGTTGTATTTTGTCTCGCATCAATTATATCGTCAGTTATATCGTTATCGCAAATTTTCAAATATATATCGTGATAAATATTTTTGGCCATATCGCCCTGCTCTAATTTGAAGTAAACTGCACTCTGTTTCATAAATGGCCACACAAGTGCATTAAAAATGCTTCTAAGTCATCATTGTGATACATTGCAGCAGGTGCATGGCATGATAGCCATATTTACAGTGCCCTGTGGTGAAAACACAGCTGCCATATGTCGCTTGTGAGACTGTGTGGGCTGACATGTAGCTTAAGAGAGGCGTATGTAGCAATCCTGTGCAGTTCATTACAACTGATGGTTTCCATTTTATTTGTCTGAGTCAGAAAAACAGATCAAGATGCTGTTTTCTATGGTAACATTTTAAAAGCATGCAAGAAAAATAAAAATTATTCTGTAGCCTATTATGGCATTTATCCCTGCTGTCAATGAAATGTCTATAGAATAATTATAATCTTTAAGGGTTCTGAATATAAACATATAGCCACAGTGTCACAAGACTATTTTTTAAATGATATTTGTCAGGGCTTCAGGCGGATTGGATTCAATCGCAGACCTCTTGACTAAAAGTTTAACATGTTTATTTACAGCACAAACAAACAAAACTGTCAAAGTTTAGGGTGAATGTTAGAGAAAGTCAGGAACAGGAACAGGTGAGCTGATCACTTGCAGGTGCATGGATCCAAAGGGCACGAACCAGGATTAGTCCCACCCTGAACACAGAAATCAACATGTCCAATATTCTCAGTTTCAGGTTTTCTTCGTCAGACACAGCAACTTAGAACTATTTTAGTAGCTGTGCCATTTGACTTTAAGATGAAAAGTTCTCAAAATTCAACAGCACAAAATGTTGTTGAAAAATAAAAAATTTCCACTATAGTAGATTAAAATCACCCCTCCTTTATGCATATCTGCAAATCTTTGTACACGGATGGGGGCAGCTCCCTTACATTTACTGAGATCGGCAACTGACTGTGAGTTAATTAATGTGTGAAAATGGCTAACATTCTGTACAGCATCGTTGATCACCGATTCTAACTTGTGACAAAACAGATCACGATCAGGTTAGGATTGATTTAATCACTGAGGAATGCGGCTGTTTTTCTCTATCACCCCATCATAACCCTATACAGGAAGGTTGTGGTGGGAAGGTAATAATAATATATTAGAGTGACGAACATATAGACCAGAGTAGAGGGTAAATCACCAAATCTCCAAAGCAAATCCCACCCTGGCTGTATGTATAGCACTGTACGCAAACTCTGGACGTACTAAAACCTCACTACCCTTTGAACAAACTCTAATAACTTGGGTCATTCATGAACTTTTACTCCTATTATTTGATCAAATTATGTTTATAACATAATAATAAAGACATGCTCATCAGCCTCAGTTTCACTCTGTGTTTAATGCCAGTCAGTAAATGTTAGCATGCTAATATGTTAAATTCCAGTTGTTCCTAAGAATAGTTATTTATCATAATTATTGAAATAATCTGGTCTGTCGTCATCATCATAACAGTGGCTTAGACCAGCGGTCCCCAACCTCTTTTGCGCCACGGACCAGTTTATGCCCAACAATATTTTCACGGACTGGCCTTTAAGGTGTCACGGATAAATACAACAAAATAAAACCAGTACCGGTTTATTCATAACACATGTGAAAAGACCCAGGAAACCGAGTTAACGATTAAAAACGATAACAAAGTAACGCTACAAACCGATAAAAACCCTGAAAACCATACATTTCACACCCGAGCCTCAACTCTTGTGGCCCGGTGCCAAACGACTCATGGACCGGGCCCAGGGGTTGGGGACCGCTGGCTTACACAACCATGTGCATATAGATTAAGGGTCACAGGTTTTTAATTTAACATAGAGAGATTTTGTGCAGCCTTGTATGCAGCTCATCTATCTTGTTGCCAGCACAAACACTTTACCGAAGACATCCAGACGTGTCAGTATCGTTCTGTGGAGGTCCTGATTGGTGCTGACTATGGCACACCTGCTGACATCTGGAGCACTGCCTGCATGGTGAGCTAAGTACCTGGATATAAGTGTAAAAACAAAATAAAAAAAGAAGAAAGAATTGAAGGTCACACATCTCATTGACATTCATAGATTCACTACAACCATTTTTATTTTTGTCCCTCTCTGTGTAGGCTTTTGAATTGGCCACAGGGGACTATTTGTTCGACCCACAGTCAGGAGCCACATTTTCCCGCGAGGAAGGTTTGTGGTGTACACAAATTTCTCTTGTCCTTGATTTATGTGCTTATAGTACGGTGTGTACTCATGTCCTTTCAGATCACATTGCCCACATCATTGAGCTACTAGGACCTCTTCCATCACAGTTTGCCCTCTCAGGGAGAAATTCTAAACGATATTTCAACTCTAAGGGTAATTTTGTGTCATTGTGCGATCACTTTGTTTGTTTTTTATTGTAATTTGACACAGAAAGTTTTACCTATTTAATTAACTCTCTTTTTAATTCTCTTACGCAGTTCATCTTTTCCTTCCTAAAAGTGTTCTGGTCCGTTTTCCTTGTCTCCAGGACATCTGCGACACATCTCAAAGCTGAAACCATGGGGCCTGTTTGAGATCTTGCTGGACAAATATGAGTGGCCACGGGAGGAAGCTTTACAGTTTAGTTCCTTTCTCTTGACAATGTTGGAACTGCTGCCAGAGAAAAGAGCCACAGCTGCCCAGTGTCTAACTCACCCCTGGATTGCCTTCTAGACACACTGGCTTTGTGACATTTAGAGCCCAGTGAACTATCTCTGGGATTTGGTCAGCGGTGGGTGTAGCCTGGTGCTGGCATCATGAGCACAGCTTTTGATAATGTTTATTAGCCTGACTTGGGTTGTTTTGGTCTTTTGTTAGCTGTCTAAGTTAGGCAATGACCAAAGTACAATTTTGTCCTACAAGAAAAGTGCCTCAAACCAAGCGTACAATATCCTTAAGTTTTGATAACAGAACAGAAGATTTGTTTTATTTTTTCTTCTAAAAAAGCAAATGAAGACCTCCCCTTCTTTATACCCAAGTATTGAAATGGGAACAGTGTAAAGCAGGATTTATTATCCCGCAAATATGTCCATCTGAGTACACATTTCCATTTGGGCAGAGGGGGGAGAAGGGTTTTCACCCACCCCAGATGTGCTCCAGTGCAGTCCTCCAAGATCCTAACTGCATGTCGCTGGATGCAGATGATGTAAGCATCTGCTGAATGCTGATTGGTTGACAAGTGGGCTGGAAAAGAGAAGGAAGCAACAGCAGAGTTCACCAGGAACAGGAGATAAAAACTTCAAAGATAAAAAAAAATGCGTAATGAAAAGCACAGAGAGTGGCTACAGTGGACATGTTTCATTGCTTTTACTACTCTGTTTCACTTCACCTCTTTCTATGTTGTAACTTTGCTTTTCTCTGTGGCTGGTTGATGGAAAAACAACAACATGAGCGACCCACAGACCAGTTGCACCACATATTTGTATACTGCCTCCATCTGGCAACAGAGCTCTCTGCAGGCAGATGGGCAGTCCCTGAACCAGAGTAGACAACAAATGCTTCCTCTGCTAGCTTATAAATCCCACTTAGGTCTGAGGTGTAGAAGGGGTGTCTTCACACAGCTCATGTATCAAATTAAAATTATGAAATGTAAATAGGATAATTACCCACTAAGAATATCAGGCAAACACCTACAAATGATAAAGGTGATTTAATCAACACACATATTTAACCCTAATAAATGATGAAATGCTATGCACAACAAACAGTGCGCCCTGTTTTTGTCAAGACTGAGCAAGTGTGAGTGTGCTGACTGTTGAGATTAGGTCTGCTGTACATTCCTTGCATGCTCACAGCACAGCTCTGAGTAGGAGGGTGGATGGAAGAGGGGGGAGGAGTTAGCCTCATGTAAACGTAGGCATATGTCCGCCTGTTAGGAAACCAGCAGATTTTCCTCTAGCGGCAGGGGAAGCGAGAAGAGAGCGAGCCTGCCTGCACACGTAAGTCTTCTATCCTTCTGTTCCCTGGGATTGTAATAAAAAGTAAGATTTTAAGAATGCAACCGGGGTTTTTTTTTCCTAAGAAGAATTAGTCCTGCAGTTGCTAAAGAAAAACCACTGCTCAGTCTGGTTTGAATTCATATTATGGACTGAAGAGTTTGCGAAATAGTATTGTGAAATAGTGTTGTGAAACTGTGGGACATCAATGGTAATTCCTGTAACTGACGCGGATTTCAGCCATGCAAAACCAAAAAAGCATTTCACAAATTCCCTTTTTACCAGTTTTGTGCCTTCTCTGTTTTTGTTCCAGTGGAGTTTGAATTCAGGTAGGAAAAGCATGCGACTTCATGCAGCTGTTCATCTGCACAATGATAAACATGCATGTGTGTGTTTATGCAGCCTTTCTAAAATTCCATTTTATTTTCTGCGCCTGTTCTTGTATGTTCAGAAGAAGCAAAGTAAAGGAAGTAAAGGTTAAAGTCCCAAAGCTCTGTCTTTTGTGACACAGCTCTTAACCCCCGGCCAGTTGCCATGCAACTAAAACTCCAAATCAAAAGGAATTACCTCAACAGCCAATGGTCTCCCACAGTTGTATTATTAGTGCAAGGTAGAGTTGTTTCCAGCCATGCTTTTCACTGCTTTCCCACAGAAGCAGCTTTTGTTAAGAATTCTGGCTGTGCTCCCCCTCCCCACACACACCCCTTTCTTACCCATTTATCTGTGCTGGAGAAATCTAAACAGACTAATTGCTCCTGAGAGGAGGAAGGTCCACACAAAGCACTGTGTGGTGTGCTTTCAACTGTTTATTGGAGTTGATATCCTTGAGAGATATCATCATATTGAGTTTCGTGTGAGTGTTCATCTTGGACATGGCAGCAGCGGTAACAGCAGCTGATAGTGAAGCAGCAACTGTACACTGCATAAATACCCATCTCATTAACCCAACACAAAGGGAAAGGTAGGGCGAGAGGAGACAGGAGAGGAGCTTTCATTTATCTCATGCAGATTTGCCGTTATTGCACTGCGTCTGAGGTTCATTTATCATTGTCCTTTTCCATAATATAGCACTATACACCATACCTGCACTGAACTGATATTTTTACAATCTGGTTGCAGCATGTGGCTGACTCTATTCTACAGCTGCACAGGTGGAGCAGCTCTTCTGTATGCTCTGTACAGATGGCTGATTCCCACTGCTGTGCAGTATCATGGAGGACTGGCGCTATTGTGGCACGACATGATTGTGGAGCGAATGCTGGACACACTGACCCAGTCCACACGTCCTCAGGTGCGCCGTCCACAAACACTCACCTCTCACAGTGTCAACCATCACATACTATGTCGATGTGATTTAGTTTAACAGTGTATGAAGCGTATAGAAAAGGTATGGCAGAACCAAGATGGAGAGAAAAAGCAAAGCATGTGAAAAATATAGTGACCACTCGCAGATAGGCTACAACAGCAAAGGTTCACACTGGGCTCCATTCGTATCAGGTAAGGACAGAAACCTGAAGCTTAGTGGATACGGGTTCACCAAAACTGGAAAGCAAACAGCTGAAGAAATGATTGTGAACAATAAACTGTAAAAATATCCGTGGCACCCATGAAGAATATAGCATACCAGATTCATGGCAATAAATCTAAGAGACAAACAGTAATGTGAGGCAATCTGCAGAGTCGTCTACCATTTGTTCCACTCAGTAAAAACTACTTTTCACTGAAATTGTCAAAACTTACTTGTCTGGTTTCTTATGTTTTTCTCATGTTTTTCTTCATTCAGCCTCCCTTTTTTTTGGGTGGGGGTGGGGGTGTCACGGCGACCATAACTATTACAGAGATGTTAATGTAAGAGTGTCATGCACCTAAAACTCTTTCACATACACAAGTTGGAAATGCAGCGATTTGCAAATATATTTATTAAAAATACTAAAGACATTCTATTAACAAAAACTATTATGAACCTAAAGTTTTTTTTATTTAAATATTTTTAAATAATTTAATTTTACAGGTTTTTTGAGTGTGGAGTCAGTAACACACTGCAAAAAGTAGAAAAGGGTAAAAGCAAAAAAAGGACTGGAAAAAGAAAAAGAGTTGAAATGCTTAAAACATAAAATGAGTAGAAAATGGAAAGAAAAGTTAAACTTGTAGTTGAGCTTGTGCATCCAGAAAGTATTCACAGCACTTCATTTGTTCCACATTTTGTCATTTTAGAGCATTATTCCAAAATGGATTTAAATTCATGTCACAATTCCCCATAATGTCAAAGAACAAAAAGATGTGCTTATGTGTTGTCATGAAATGAGGGGCATTTTCACACCCGTAGTTTGTTTATGCTGGTCCATATCAGTTGATGAATTTGAGGTTGTGTTTTTTTTTTTTCTTACCATGGTTTGGTTTGTTTTCACACAGAAAAAAATGTAAGTGAACTACAAGTGAACCTAAATGTTTCACTACAAACAACATGAGAGTGTTCAGTTCGCTTATTGGCCAGATGTGTCCTAGGGGGGACTATTGGAGAACTATTAAAAATTGGAGAACACAGAGAATTTACATTTATTTCACGGCTAGTTGCTAGTCTGTACAGACCTTTGCACATCTATAATACCTTGCCACATCCCAGAATACAAAGTATACATGGCTACAGTAAATTTTTTAGCTCAAACTTGCAGTGTAAAGTGGGTGGTTTGTTTTGGATCTAGGCTTGGATCACATTCACACCCTAAATGAACAACACAAGTACATTTGCACATGAGACCACCTACACATGTGTCTCGGTGTGGTTGTTTTGGTCTAAACCCGAGTGTGATATTCTGTACAGTACTGTATACTATACATCCACACAAACCGGAAAAGGGGGATAACGAAACGATTCGATTTAAATGGTCTAAACACCACAGGTGTGAAAACACACTAATTAATAATTTAATGAAAACCAAATGACCCTAAAGACACTATTACTTTTAATATCATTTTTTAGTTGCGTATGGGGCTTAGGGTATGAAATACACTCACAGGACACTTTATTAAGTACACCTTGATAGTACTAAATTGGATGCCTTTTCCCCTTGAGAACACCATTAATGCTCTGTGACACAGATTCAAGAAAGTGCTGGAAAAATTCCTGTTGACGACAGATGGGGTAGTCTTGAGTATTTCAGAAACTGTAGATTTGCTGGGATTTTCCACACATGAGCATATTCAAGGTTTATAAAGAATAGTTAGAAAGTAGTTGGTCAGATGGCCAGACTGCGTTGAGCCAATAGGAAGACAACAGTGTGTCAACATGCAGAGACTCATTCCCACAAGGTATCCATAAGAGCATTGGTGATAGGATCACATGATAGGATTATATAGTTGCTGCAGATTTGTTGGCCGCACATCCATGATGCAATCTCCTGTTCAACTAAGGAGCTTGGAAATAAATCTTAAAGATGTCCTATTGGAACGGGTGATAGTGGGGGCCGTTTGAGTATAGAAAATCCATTGTCAAGTTTAATAAACCAGTTTGAAAGGATTGGAGCACTGCAGCCTCCCTGAGAATATTCCTGTAGACTATGGGGTTTAAAAGATTCTTATTTAGTACGAAAGGGCAAAAGTGTGCCAAGAAAATATTGCCCACACGATTACACCACCACCACCAGCTGCCTAAACCCTTGATATAAGAAAGGATGGACTTACACTTCTGTATTATTTACAACAAATTCTGGCCCCACTATATGAATGTCACAGCAAAAATTGAGACTCACTAGATCAGTCACCGTTTTTAGAATCTTCTATTGTCCAGTTATGGTGAACCTGTGTGAACTGTAGCCTCAGTTTCCCAAAAGGATTGGCGCCTGGTGTGGTCTTCTGTTATTGTAGCCAATCTGCTTCAGGTTTTGATATATGGGTTCAGAAGTGCTCTCATGCATACCATGTGGGAATGAATCTCTGCAAGTTGACACACTGTTGTCTTCCTATTGCCTCAAAGCAGTTTGGCCATCTGACCTACTACTGGTACATTTTCTCTCACAAAACTGCCACTCAATGAATATTTTCTCTTTTTCTGACCATTCTTTATAAACTTTATATAAGCTTGTGTGTGGAAAATCCCAGCAGATCTACAGTTTCTGAAATACTCAGACTAGCCCATCTGTAAACAATTATGCCACAGTAAAGTCACTTAAATCACCCTTCTTCCCCAGTCAGTTTGAACTAAATGCCTAAATGTATTGAATTGCTGCTATGGAATTTACTGGTTAGATATTTGCATTAAAAAGCAGTTGAACAGGTGCACCTAAAAGAGTGTCCAGTGTTTTACAGAGCTTTAGAGCTGAAGCACAAAAATATGCAAGTAACGCTCCATTCTTTTTGCAGACAGCTGTATTAAGGGCCCTGGCGGCCCAGTATATTGTGTGTTTGCTCTAATAAAAGTGTAAGGCGACTCAGAAAGACGCGTGGGAAGAGGGTGCAGCCTATACGGCACTGCTTAATGAGTTAATGTGAGACAGCTGTGCTGGGTGGGAGCGGCTCCTGGGAGTGATTGGTTGATGGGGATCAGGTGTGCAGCGGGAAGGAACCCTGCTGAGGTTGGACTAAAACCTAAGCTGGCTTTCTGAAGTCTGTTTTAATGTAATAACAAGAAATAACACAAGCACAATTTCCCCTTTAAGAATATTTTCATAGGAGGAAAATATCATTGGATTCTGTCTCATGTTGAAAAAATGAGTATCTAGCTCTTATTTATAGTGTGCAGACCACAATTTTCTCTTGTTGGACATCTATGAAATGTGTGAAACACTGGAACCGCAATCATAACACGAGAAGTGATAAGATTAACAAAACTATATCCATATGTGTTTAAAATCCCCTTTAAAAATTCAACCATCAGATCAAAATATCTGTGACAATCCAAGTATTGTCTGTTATAACTAATTGATGCTCGTAAACTCTTATTGAGGTTTTATTAAGTGGTGCTTTTTCTCCCCCTGCATCTAACTCCAGCGACTCCTACATGCAGTACAGAAGAACGCCACTAGAGGAGACCCTCGCAGCGTGGTGAAAGCCATCGACAACTTCTGCAGACAGAAGGAATGGGCCATGAATGTCGGGGATGAGAAAGGTACTGACTTCCTAATGATATGCTCAATGAGTAAAATCAGTTCCTTATTCGATCTAACTATATATTTTTAATATTTCTTTTTGTTTTGTCATAGGCTGCATTCTTGACTCAGTGGTGTCTGAAGTGAATCCAGTCACTGTGTTAGAGCTGGGAACCTACTGTGGCTACTCTACGGTGCGCATCGCCAGCCTTCTTCCTCCACGCGCCAAGATCATCACTCTTGAATTTAACCCAGACTACGCCAAAATTGCTCGTCAGGTTATTGCTTGGGCAGGACTAGAGGATAAGGTAATGAGGAGCTCTAAAAAGAAGCTGATTTGCATAGAGAATGCATAGGGTCAGGTTGCAATATTCCTTTTTTATTTTTGTTTTCTATTTACTTATTTTTTTAATAGATCCAGGTAGTTGAAGGCCCATCTGGCGAGTGGATTCCCAAAATGAAGGAGCAGTTTGGGGTGAAAACATTTGATTTGGTTTTCTTGGATCACTGGAAAGATCGCTACCTTCCTGACACAAAGCTGCTAGAGGCAAGTCTGTTTGACTCATCCTATACTCATTAAAGTCTTTGCTTTTTCTGCCATGACTCCAGTTTTGCCTTTCTTCTTTTTTGAATCAGGACTGTGGCCTCCTAAGGAAAGGCAGTATCTTGCTGGCAGATAACGTCATCTGCCCTGGAACCCCTGATTACCTTGAGTATGTTCGAAACAGCCCGAGATACAAAAGCCAGTACTTCAAATCTCATCTGGAGTACACCAAAGCGGAGGATGGCTTGGAGAAATCTGTCTTCTTAGGGTAGTTTTAAAGGGGGAAAATAACCTCTATTTACACAGGTACTAGTAGACCTCAGAGTCTTGTGTTTGCAGACTCTGCAAGTGAGGAGGAGAATCTGTTTTGCTTTTTCTAAATGTCATAAAAACTGAAATTAAAAGTGACGTGTAAAAGAAAAGCTGTGTTGTGAGCTTTAATTTCCACTGTATGAAGACTTGATGCATTCTTTGAGATGTCCATACTGATACATTAGATGGTAGTAATGATACATTCAGTCTTCTAATTTACAGGTGAGTTGCAAACTGATCTGGCAGCTGCATTTTTTTTCCCAGAGCATCAACTCAAATCAATAATAAATCTAATCCAGCTGCATTCTGTGGTGCAGAAACCTATTTTGCGCTCTCATATTCTCCACCATTGTGCCAGTGTTGACAGGTGTGTGAATGGAAGTGCGTGTGTGTGCGTGCATGTGTGTGCGCTCACGTATAGGGAGAGTACGAATCAAATCGCTGCTCATCTAATCTCTCAAAGTGACGGAGGTCCATCATCCTGGTGTGTGTGTGTTGCAGGGGGGAGGGTTCTGCATTTGGTTCAGCTGTATGGAAAAAAAGGGCTAGTCCACCTAGTGCTTTCTTCACAGACGCCTGCATGATAATCCCAATCTGTGGCCATTAGAGTGCAGAGAGAACGAGCAAGGAGAGGGTTCATGAGAGAGAGAGAAAGGGAGGGGGTGCCCAGACAGAGGCGCGCTCAAAGGGAAAAAGAACGAGAGAGAGGGAGTGTATGTGAGAGGGCTTTTAAGGGATTTGGCGGTGATTTGTAGAATCTCACTGCTGTAATGTTGCACTTTTCTCTGATTCTCGCATGATATTATACACCCCCCCCCCTCCAAAAAAGCTGCAGAACTCTGTTTTTTCATTTTGTTTTGCTAAACCACAACAATTTTTTTTTTGTTGTTGGCCATTGTTTTTAGAGAGTCTTTGGTTATTTTTGAGAGTGCACACAGGCTGACTGAGATGACAGAGGATTTACGATCAGTCAGGAGAGGAGAGCCTTGCTTCCAGATATAATAATCACATTTTGGACCCTGGATGGAGGCCTGCGTGGAAGAGTTTGTGTGATGGACAAAATCAAGGCTGGTCCATGAAGAATGGGCAGGTAAGACTTATCTTCTTCCTTCTTCACTATGAAGAAGTTTTAAAAAAATGTGATTAATGCAGCTTGTGGAAATTCAAATCATTCTTGCATTGATTGCATGTATTTCTTTTAACTTTATAATCACGGTATAGCAGAGGTATTTTAAATATGAGTTTTTATCATTCTAAGAAAATGATGTTATCCTGTAATTATTATTTAGAGCCTTGTGAAATTATGATTGTGATTTTTTTAAATGGAACGGGCTCAACTGATCATTGTGGATTTTGGCAGTGATCCTCGTGCAGATATAATTAACCTGCTCCGGCTTTTGAAGCATGAAATGCGGTCAGGATTTAGTCAATGTTTTGTTCTGCAAAATTTATAGTGTTTTCCATCATCGCCTCTTTGCTCTTCATGATAAAAGCTTCCACTCTGTGTCATCCTGCATCTTGGCTAAAATCCACTCTTCAGCCACAGGTTTTTTTTTTAAGTGCACCTCCATCTATCGCTTATATTTTGTTCTTTCTCCTACGTTTTCCCAGCTCTCATTCAAAGCACAGGAAACGATGTTAGACTGTAGGTGCTTTTTCTGCATCATTACCTAATAAGGGAATCACTGTTAGCATTGACTCTGCAGCTCTGCAGTTATCGTCCTTAAACATATCATAATTGCCATAAGGAATTAAAGATAAATATTTATAAAATGATGCACGGGACACACAGAATTTTACATTTTTATGCATTTCAAGTTGGATGCTGTATTTAAAAATTCAACCCAGACTGCTTCATGGATGTGGTGGATCCATAAAAAGAATAGTTAATAAGGTAAACCGGAGAGAATAAAGTGTATGAAGCGTCTACATGCTCTAACTTCAATAATAACCAGATGTTAACACCCCTTTTCTTAACTCCCTCAGGTGTCAAAGGTAGAGGGAGTGGCCCAGTGCTGTCAGCACCTCTGCTGGTCATCATGATATCAGAGGTCCTCTCATCCCATCAGTGCTCCTGGTTTGGTGCGTCATATGGATACAAACCATGGCTTCGGTTGCTTTGGGTTCTACTGGTGGGTTTCAGTCCAGCCTCACGTGCCCAGCAGGGCACCCAGCCTCAGTCCATCAAAATCGAAGGCGACATCACCCTGGGCGGCCTCTTCCCTATGCATTCTCGGGGTCCGGCTGGGATACCCTGCGGAGAGATCAAGAGAGAGAAAGGGATCCATCGACTGGAGGCCATGCTCTATGCCTTGGACCAGATCAACAGCGATCCCGAGCTGCTGCCTAACATCACACTTGGGGCTCGGATCCTCGACACCTGCTCCAGAGACACGTATGCCCTGGAACAGTCGCTCACCTTTGTCCAGGCCCTCATCCAGAAGGACAACTCGGATGTGCGCTGCTCAAACGGAGAGCCTCCGATATTCCCAAAACCGGAGAGGGTGGTTGGGGTGATTGGTGCATCTGGAAGTTCGGTGTCCATCATGGTGGCCAATGTACTCAGACTGTTTGCGGTGAGATTTCTTTAACCATCCTAGCTTTGTTAACCAGTGAAGGGGCAAAATATTTGGGACAGGGAGTGTTTTGAGAATGTAAGCTGATAACATGATCCCCTCACAACCTCTCCTGAATCTGTTCACAAAGAAAGAGCACAGTAGTTCCCATTCACTGGTTTTGGACTCTCCAGTCAGGAGAGACAATGACAATTATTCTTAAGAAAACAAGTTTAACCAAACTGTGATCAGCTAACATTTCTTTCATTCTTGCTTAATATTTTACAACTACTGGAATCTTAAGGCATTTTTTTTTTAAATTTACCGTTTTAGTGTTTCTCCTTTTGTCATGCTTGCAAAATAAAGGTAAAAGTTTAACACTTTGAAAGAATTAAGTATTACTAAAGTATTAAAGCATCTAAAATCTTCACTCAGAAAGTGAGTGAGGATCACAAACAGCACCGCCACATTTTAACCAGTCAGAAGCAACAAAAGGACCAGGAGCACTATGTTAAAAAAAATGATTTACACACATCAAGTCCGAGGACACTGTGCCAGAAAATGAGCAACTATATGGAATACATTCCTAATTTTAGATTTGAGCAGCTTGCAGTGATATCAGTGACCAGCTGTGGCCAATAAACAGACGTCCTATGAGCGAGAGCTCACACTTATGAAGTTAATTTATATAGCTGCACCTTCATTTCCTGCCTCAGTAGAGTTACAGTATTTGTGATTAGGTCGCTGCAGATTTAGGTCTTCTTTATTAAAATTTGAGATTGATTAAATCCCTCCTTAGAAGATAATGTGGACCTTGGTCATGATTACATTCTGATGGAATTCATCCTCTGGGTAGTCTGAGCTCCAGGTATTTAAAGAGAAATTGGATTGGATGTAGGGTTGATTGGCCGTAGGTGTTAATGTGAGTGTGGATGTTTGTCTGTTTTTCTGTGTTAGTTCTGCGATACGTGTGCGCGTCTGCCCAGGGTGCACCCTGCCTTTGGTATAGCCACCCCAGTACTTCTGGAACCCCTGAATTGGATAAGCAGTTAAGGAAAGGGTTGGACAAATGATAGATGAAGACGTCTGGTACCAAAATATTATTGAGACACTTTATGTTTTTACCTAAAGAACTTACTGCTGCTCTACAGAGATAAACATCCCACCTCTCGATGATATTATAAAGCAGTGTAACTGAAACAGCTATGTGACCTGAATGAACCTGTGTATTGCTGCCTGTCAGAGTGACACTTACAGGGCCGTGAATCCATTGTAATTGTTGGAATCTGCAGGTTAATCCAGGTATTTCTTTTTTCTATTTTCTTTTTCTTTTTACACTGATTACACATTGTTTATAGCAATGATGGAACACTGAGTCTGTGCAAATCTAACATTTGGGGCAAGCAAGTAATACAGAAAAATTGTAACAACCAGGCTGATGTGTTTGGATGTTTCTGTTTTGGTGAATTCTGCAGTTAATATCTGCCCTCCATCCAAGTTGCTCCTCCTTCAGCTCAGAATCCACAACTTGGGTAGAGGGCAGATGTTAACTACAGAATTCACCAACTCCACTAAGCCCCTCTCAACAGCTCAGGACCCTGGGCTCAAAATAGTGTCAGGGTAACAGGATGACATTGGTTCTAGGATAGCAGCAATTTGTGACCAGTGTGAAGTAGATTTAGCTAAATAGTGCGTTTCCTCCTACCGTCCATATGTGCTGCTTTCCAGACCGCAAATGCTTCTAGTCTGAAGTTCTTTACATATTCAACATCTGCTCATAACCAATACACTTTTTGTTGTAACCTGCTCCAAATGCATCTTTATTTTATTTTTTTCCTTTTTCAATAGGTGAGCATAAACTATAAATAATGTAAGGTATCTTATATGAGACTATTTTTAAATGAGACATAGAGCATGCATTCATCGAGTTTTCTTTAATGAAGTTTTTATAAATTTTGCAAATACCTCTGAAGCAATTAACTCTTTAACATGTTCATTGACAGTTAATATTTTAGGGTCTAAACCCTTAATAATTCAAGGTTGTGTAAAATAACTAACCCATTAATATAGCTTTCACAAACCCCTGTAAGATGCACCTGTAGGTGAATGTTCTATACTGACTCATTCCAGAGGGTCATAATTATATCCATGTTTGTCAGCCTCTTTATTCTATACCCGGGCTCATTGTCTTGATGAGTCAGTCTAGTTTGTTCAAATTACAATGTTTCTTTCTCAGCTTCACTTGTTTTATGACTGTAAGCAGATTTCAGCAAGACTGGACTAAAAGAGGATGCTTATGTTAGTGATAAGGCTTATTGATTTTAACAAGTGAATTGGTGCAGATGCTTCTGTGGGATTAATTTGGGAGAGGATTATGTATTTGTCTTGTGCATTATAATTTTGCATGCAAACATCTGAGTGACTTTTCAGACAATGATACAGACTCCTCTGGACACTGATGATGTCACATGCCAGTCACTCTTACAAGGGGGAAGGAGAGGGCAGGAAAGTTCACCAGCCTGATTTCAGGATGTGGTCTGGACCACAGAGGCTTA